ACACTAATAAAACACATTATCTCCTTCCAAACACTCTTATCAACTCATAACCTTCTCTGCTTTCCCAACTCATTCACCAAACTCTAAACTCTCATGTTTTTGATTTAACTGAAATTTAGGTGTATTAATGCTCATTACCATGGGTTACACTTGGATGAACTCCTCCTTGGAAATAAATCTGATCAAGCTCAAAGTTGGTGCACGGCTAGAGGAGACCTTGAAGATGTAAATGTATATAAATCGTGTATAGAACTCAAAGATCGTAGCCATGGCAGCTTGCCAAAGTTGATTTCCCCACCCCTCTCGAAACAGGATGTGGGAGTAACTTGAAACTACTGGGTCCAAACTGAGACAATCTTTACTTGTGTGAAAGTTTCCTTTTACAAATATCTACACGATGCAATTTTGTAAAAAATTACAAACTGTATTATTACAAAGCACTTGTAAGACACAGTACACCTTGTGAGAAATGACTAAATTGATTGGTTGTGTCCTAAACAAAGACGAATTCACCTTTTGACTTTTTTTGACCTGCAGAACACTCAGTGGCTGCACCACATCCCAACATGCACCACACCTGACATGAAGTCCCACCCCCCGTCTCTAGTAGCTGCCAGGTGTATCGTTACCAACAAAAATAGAAATCCTAGGCAGTTTTCAAATACTAGAAAACAAACTTCTTAACATCGTCTAAATTGCACATTTTAGTGACAATTTGGTAATTATGAAAATAAGCCCTCTCTTTCTTTGGCTGCAGCAGCCTTTGAGTTCAAATGTGACTGAAGATCTGAAGCTTTTTAAAGCTTTAGTACTTTATGATCCAATAGATCATCCAAATAACAAATGGTAGTGTCGATGTAAAACATGCTGAATTGAAAAGTGTCAAAGTATTGAAAGTTGTGACAACCTTACGCACTGACACACACTGATGTACACTGTGTGGCTGGGAAACGTCGGCTCCAGTCATGCTGAGAAGCTTCTTAGAGGAAATGTGACACTTGAAACAATGAGGACTTTATTTTGATTGTCACATTTCAGCGATCATTGTCCTAGTTTCGGGTGAGAACCGGGTCAAACTGTTCTCCTGGGATGATACGGCCTCTCAGGTGGCAGTTAACGCACCGCTCAGGTCACTGTAGTGAAACTGTAGCCACAGTTCAGGGAAACGTGACACAGTTACAGTGTGAGACCTGGAGCTCGGCTTACCTGAGCTCCATGACATCATTCAGGTTTCTGTGATACTGTACACCTGCATTCAGAGTCTATACAGGACAAGACCACCAGCATTAAACCCAACTGTGTTAGAGATGGCCTCTCCAATTTAATAAAAAAATATATAAATTTAACATCTGACACTTTTCTGCACTATAAGGTCGCCTCAAGGTTATCAGCTCAGTATGAGTGCAGTATTTAGTTTCTTATTTGAGGCAGATTGACAATCTTAAAGTAAGTATGCCAAACTAACATCCGCATGTGTTCAGGTGCTAACTCATTTACGCTGACGACACTGTGATGTACTGCTCAGCACACACTCCAGACCAAGCTCCCTCACAGTTACAGCTTTATGTATTTGTTGCCGATCTTAACAAACATTTGCTCTTTTTATGTATCATTTGTCTCGTAGGGTTCCTTTGAATTATTGGTGGGGACGGCCTGCTGCTGTGTTGAGTACCTACATCACCTCAAATATTTCCAACGGTTTTCCACTTTCACTTTTTTCAAATGGATTTATGTCTGTATCTGATTAAAATGACTAAAAAAAAAAAAGCCTCAAAGGCAATCATGCTCGAGCAGGGTACGGGACAACTTTGCTGGTGTCAGTGCGCCCTAAGGAATAAAGAACAAAACTAGAATCTGTTGACTCGCCCATAAATAACTCAGTCGACGGAGGAAATATATTCCTTGTTTTGCCTTTTTACAGATTTAGTCAATGTGATCTTTCCACGACAGCAGACGGTCGATCATTAAACCCAAATATTTATAAGATGACACCAGATTGATTGTTTCATTATGAATGAAAACAGAGGCCTTGTGAGCATCAGATGGTGAACTGAATACAATTTCCTCTGTTTTTCTTTGCACTGATCTCTTGAGCGTGTTTATCGCTCCACATAACCATTTTGTTCAAAGCGTGTCGGTGCAGTCAGAGTTACTTAAACAGAGAAAAGCCACTACGCTCCGCTCCGTTTCAGTACGATGAGGACATTTTGTTAAACTTCTCTCTGTAGATGAGAAAAACAAATGTGAAGGAATGCAATAAGTCAATTTTTGAGTGTTTCAGAATTTAGACTTCAGTAAAGATTGATTGGGTGTCTTTTCTGATTTCTCGGTTTAGAAACATGTGCTGCAGAAAATCTTCACTGCCAGAGAACGTATGAAGCATCATCGCTGTCTGACTGTCGTATGAATCTTTAAAGTAGAAGCAGAACTTTGAGAAGCTCCGAGGCTTTGAGCTGCGTTGGAAAAACAGCACTGCCCTATTTTTCCCACTTCTGTGATGCGTTGTGATGATGCAACTATCCAAACAACTCAAGTTGCAACTAAACAAGAACCATCAGATAACAGTGGAAAACCGTACAGTGTTTCCCCTCTGACAGCCGCACAAGAAAACTTTTCTCTGTACAGGATTTTCAGTACCCTTCAAAATAAATGTTTTGTTTTAGTTAGTTGGTGCATGGAATGAAAGCTTTGTCAAAACTCATTTTAGGATTATGACTATCTGATGAAGAGAATTCACCAGAATCCTTTGCAGCTCTGGTGTAAGACAAAGCTGTTAGCATGTGAACAGAGCTTCATCTTGTATTCTTTACATCAGAAGGGATCTAAGTGTTTGTTTGTGAATGCAGTAGAGACCACAGACAGGTTTAATTGTTTCTTCAGTTCAGGTGTGGCAGAGGATCAGTCTGCTGGCAGCAGTCCAAACAGCTCAGAGTGTTGTTGTTCTGTCACCGGGCGGAGGGACAGTTTCACCAGAGTCACATTCCTGCAGCGCGACAACAACGACAACAACAACCACTGCTGCTGCTGAGACCAGACATCATCTCTGAGAGAACTGTTTGTTTGTTTGGATGGTGAGGTGGGAAAAGATAACCTGGGAAATGACACAACATGACCTGTGGGGGTTAACAACCACTGGAATGTATTGCATCTTGATGAAGACATATAATATTGGAATTTCTCCGTCACAAAGTCAATGCTAACACGCCCAAGAGATTAAGACCGCGTAAACCATCCTCTGAAAATGGGGTCGTTTGTCGTTTGAGTATTCAAAAAAGTTCCACGTTGCCACGACAATGTTTTCATAACAACCACAGATCGACAACAGAGACTATAAACACTGTAGTATACATGCCAGGCCAGTAGTTGGCAGTGTGACTTAACAGAAACATGCTCAAACTAGGATCAATATTGGAGATGCTTTTGAAAAATGGAGAGAGGTTAGAACACAGAAAGGTTTACAGACCCATGCAGAGCTGGATAAACACTGAAGCTTCAGAGTCCTCCACATGGTGACCTGAGTGAGCATCCACTCTAGAGAGGAGGGGGGGGGGCAGCTCTCTATGATGTTTAGAATTTAGACTGCAGTACCCATTTAAAACACTAGGGGTCACAGTTACATACTGCTCCTTTAAGAAAACAAAGCCTCCTGGCCTGACACCTACCTTGTGTCAGCTGTTTCAGGAATTAAAAATAACCATGCATAAGTAACATATCTTCTCTCTGATGGTCTTGTTTGTTAAAGAGGCATGAATATTTATCCGAGTGTGTTTCATAACCTCACAGGAGCTTTAACGTCTTCCTCACACGGGGCTCATGCACTGATCTCTCTGCAGAGAGGAGAAAGTGCTGTCTGAAAGCCCTGAAGGCAACTTATTCATGCCAACACCCAGAAATGGATGTGATGACTGACATGAAAATGCTTTTCTGTTACAGACATGAAATTAACTACTTAAGTACATTAGTCTGAAATTCTTGCTGACTCATGCAATGCACTCTGTAATTCAAAGACTATCAATCGATCTTTATTTGTGTAGCGCCATACATAACATTTGTTATCTGAAGAAAGAAGGTACAAGACCTTACTCGCTTTAGTTAGCTGGTAGCTTCACATTTCATGTAAACTGACACAGAATGAGCGTGATCTAAAAACTCTTACTAACATCCAAATAATCAGTGAGTATGTTCTTCTTCTTCTCTCTAGTTCTTGACTAAAACAGCTTTTATACACAAGGGGAGGAGCCGGCCGTCCCGTCCATGTAAACACGGCTCTGACAACAACACAGCCAGCGGGACTCGAGCTTCTCCCTCATTGTAGACAGTCAGGACTCAGAGACACATTTACACAGGACAGACTTTATGATTTATTGATGTGGAACATGTCGATCATTCTACCTTTAATCAATCTCACTCACGTCGTTCTGTCACAGGCGATATCAAAAAACCATCACATTTCATCTTCATGATCTCTCAGGATAAAAAAAGACACTTTTGACTGACAACATCCATCACACTCATATAGAATGAGATTTAAATAGACTCGTCAACTAGGCTATATCTTCCCAAGAAATGGATGTCTGATGCATGCCTGTGACTGTAACCATGGCAACAGAGGGACACAGGCACAGAAACACACATCTCTCTCTCTCTAAAAAAAAAAAAACATGTCCTGAGGGCACACAGGACACTGGATACACTCCTGACAGCAGCCCTGAGTCAATGAATGTGTGTGCCTCTATTACGCACACAAACCGGTTCCTGGACGTACAGAGTGTAAATTGCTACCTTCGCGGTGTCTCATGAGGCTACATGTTTCCTGAACGCAGCATGTGCTTAAAACAAAAACAACAGGACAGAAACTAGTTTCCATGCAGGAGTTAAACAGTTTAAATAACAAACACCAGCAGCCAGCAAAAGCCGCACCAGAGACAGGTAACACTGTGCGTGCAGGTATTGAAAGCAGCGGTGAACATGACGTCATTAACGTCCGTGTGATGACTTACTCACCGGCCGGCTGCTGGATGAGCTCATTCCAGGAAGCGTGAAAAGTGAAACTCCTCCGACTTTGCAGTTGAGAGGGAAAAAAAACAGGTGAAACATACAAAAAAAAAAACACTTCCGGTGATCCAGGTGAGCGTTCGGCGTGAACTCGTCTGATAACCGATCGAGAGAAGTCACCTGCTCAGGTGAGATCTCTTCACCGTGCTGCAGGAAAACACACTGACGAGCTGCAGGTAACACGAAGCTGCCTGCTGCAGGTACCTCACAGGCCCCGCCCCCCTGTGAACCCTCAGCACACAAGCACACCTGCAGCTGCTCACCTGAGCATTTACCTGCGTCCCATTTCTAAACGCACACCTCCTCGGATGTTTCCTCATTCACCTCCAGGAGAAAGCAGAGCATTTCACAACCTGATGTCACAATGTTTATAACTCTTTACTTCTAAAATTAGTTTTTTTATGGTGTTTCCTAATCGATCAAATAGTTTGTTTATTAAAAGGAAACCACGAAGGATGCAAAGTAGTGGAGCTGATTTAGGATTGGGATGCGGCCCTGCTGGCCTACTTTACAGTGAAGCCATAAAATCCAGAATCAAATCCAAGGCTGTACACATGGGTTAATTTTTAATTAGAAACACATGAGCACAGTTTTAAAAAGAAACAGTGAACATCTGACAAAGAAACAAACGAGAAACAGTTTAATTAAAGCACACAGTTCATAGAGATGTAATTAAATAAACAAACAATTTGTTTCCAAGCATAAAGCTCTATCATGTAGTTTAAACTCTTTAGAGGGGAGCTCGAAGGAGAACTCTTTAAATCCATCAAAGGCATCGTTGTGGCTTTCTGATATGATCAGGTTTTTGTGGAAATCAAAAGCTCTCTTAGAGGATCAACCGAGAAATTCTACAAAGTTGAGGACCCTTCACTAGTTTCTTTTCGACAGACTTGCAGCTCTCCACTGTCAGTATTATATAAAGCACAAACACCTACATCACCTGTGTGCATACTTTGTCAAAGAAACAATGAAAACACATGTAAACAAATGTCTTTACAGAGGGTTAAAGTTCTACTGTAGTGAACTATTCTGTCTCTTTGTATCAGTACTGGTGAGCTGGCCTGATGCATGGAGGAGACATGGCTGCAGGCCTCGTCTGAGGACTGACACTTCCAGCTCTCTGCTGCGGTGTTGTCTCTGTGTCACACACACATCCTGGAAAAAGGTCCAATCACTGATCCACATGGAAACAAAAGGGCACTTTTTTTCCACCACATGATTTCAAAACAAATGATGGGGTGTTTGTGGCTTCTGAAAAGTGGAGCAGGTTAACGACGGAGAGGATGGACTTTTCTCATCATTGGGGGGTTTCAAGACAGACTAGAGACACATGTTAGAGTTAGAGGAACATGGTGAAGTGGATTTGACAGAATATGACCTTAAAGCAGTGACATTAAACATCTTTGTAGACTTATAAAGCTTGACTCTGGTGGGACTCAAACCCACAACCTTCAAATCACTTCTCTTGTGTTTAGCTAGAAGTCCAATGCGCTGTCCATTGCACCACAGAGCCACACAGTAAGTAATCTGTGTTGTTGATAAAGGTACCTTATTATATGATCAGACATTAAGGAAACATGCTATGTTGAAGTGCTGGCTTCTCTGACAACAATGCAGCAGCCAGTATGTCCTCCTTCTAACTTTAGATTCTGCTCCTGAATGCTCTGGATTTGTTTGGACCAGAGAAGGTAGGCGCTTTTAGAGCAGTTATCAGGTCAACAGGTGTTGCAGTGATGGAAGCGGTCAAGAGAAGTGGTTCAGATAGAAGTGATTGTACCCGACCTAAAAAGCCTCTGCATGTTTCTAATAAGCTCCACGAGCAGAAACGTGCTCAAACTAGGATCAATATTGGAGATGCTTTTGAAAAATGGAGAGAGGTTAGAACACAGAAAGGTTTACAGACCCATGCAGAGCTGGATAAACACTGAAGCTTCAGAGTCCACCACATGGTGACCTGAGTGAGCATCCACTCTAGAGAGGAGGGGGGAGACAGCTCTCTATGATGTTTTGAATTTGGACTGCAGTACCCATTTTAAACACTAGGTGTCAGAGTTACATACTGCTCCTTTAAACAGAGGAGAAGTGATTTAGAGTCCCAGCAGAGTCGAGCTGTACAGGCTATCTATCAAAATTAAATGACATTTCTGGGATCAGCTCCAGCCCCCCCACAAGCCAAACAGGAAAAAGCGGTGTAGATATTGGATGGATGGAATTTCAAAAGTGACTTTTTCTGTCAAGATTGTCAACTTTTTTTCCCAATTTGATTGATTTTGAGCAGCAACTGTGTGGCTCTGTGGCGCAATAGACAGCGCATTGGACTTCTAGTACAGTCAGGGAGAAGTGATTGAAAGGTTGTGCGTTCAAGTCCCACCAGAGTCAATCTTTATAGGTGTACAACAAAGTTCATAGAATAGATCTATGACTGTTGATTTGGAATCGAACAATGGTTATCATGTCTGCCTTATAAATGTAAAATTATTATGTCTTGGTGTGCAAAAAACTGGAGTCCCACCAGAGTTATTCTACAAACATTTACCAGCATTATCCTCTAACCTTTAACCTCTTGAACATGAGCATGTTGCACTCCAAACTGAGGAATAAAAACTTATTTTTTTTAAATTAAAGATGGTTTAGTCTTTGGTAAGAAGATTTGTGTGTAGGTTTTTATCAGCGACAAAGTTTGTTTCGGTCCTGGGGGGGCTCAGCTCTTTGTGGAAAAACATCAGAAACAAATGGTCGCGGCATTGACTCCTCTTTATCATGAAGAACTGGATAGAGTCCAATCTACACAAACGTACGCGCACACACTCTGCATCAAATATGCTTCTTGATGTCCACACACACACATACACACACACTCACACGTTATGCAAATCCACCAGCCAATCAACAGACACAACAAATCAATGCCTCTTTGTGGCATCTGTCTTGTGTCTCACTGTGGTGTGCGCCTACACGTGTGTCTCATTTGCATATATGTAAATGAGCTCCCACACGCTCCGCCATAGATTGCTGCTGAGACTTTATCTCTATGCAATTATGTAAATGAGGCCGAGCGTTGTAGGACAGTTACGTAAACGTCGTATTTCAAAAAAAGAGGTTTAGCAGGGAAATTACATAAGAAGCTGGTTTTCTGAGGCTATTTACAGCCACGGCGAGCAGCGCTCTGCCGACACAATCACGCCGACACAATGTGCAGTATTTATGGCGGCGAGTAAAGAGGGAATTTAACACGAGACACCAGCCAAAGAGCTGCTAAATCAAAGTTGATCGCTGCTTAGTTCACCACTTCCAGCAGACAGTCATGTTCAAATTCAGCAGGCAAACAAACGACCTTAATGACCACTGATTTGACTCGTGCATATTCCACTTTGCTGTCATATGTTCAGATCTGGACTCCTCGCTTGGTTTCAGTCTCTTCCAGTGGGGGTCTAATTTTTCACAGTGACAGCAGAATCCAGGATGTGACACTCCTGCCGCTCCGCTTTCTTGATTTTTCTGGCTCGTATCGTTTGTTTACATCAACATCTTGCCAAGTGTCACTTTGAGTCGCCACTGAGCCGAGTAGATGACGTTACAGCGGCCCCGTCTGTCCGCTTTCACACTCTGTCTGGCTCACTGTCAGCGAGTACTCATCACAGTCATTCAGCAGGAGTCTCAGAGGAGTTCTGCTTCATTTGGCTCCCATTATGTTTGTGTTTGATCCGTTTAGATTTTCAGGTTTCTTTACTTTGCGCAGGAAACCATGAAACAGAAGATTTAAAAATGTTCCTGTGTTTTTACCACGAGTGAGGTCTCATTACGTGCTCATCTGTATCCTGGTTGGGATCTACTTTCACTTTGCTGACCTAATTTTGAGACGTATGAGCATCACAGCCTACAGGCTCTAATCTCCTATCTAGTGAGGGAACATAGGGATGAGGAAACAGGGCTGAGGGAACATAGGGTTGGGGAAACATGGGGCTGAGGGAACATGTGGCTGAGGGAACATATGGCTGAGGGAACATAGGGCTGAGGGAACATGTGGCTGAGGGAACATGTGGCTGAGGGAACATAGGGTTGAGGGAACATAGGGTTGAGGGAACATGTGGCTGAGGGAACATAGGGTTGAGGGAACATAGGGTTGAGGGAACATGGGCTGAGGGAACATAGAACTGAGGGAAAACAGGGCTGAGGGAACTTAGGGCTGAGGGAACTTAGGGCTGAGGGAACATAGGGCTGAAGGAACATAGGGCTGAGGGAACATAGGGTTAAGGAAACCTAGAACTGAGGGGAAACAGGGCTGAGGGAACATAGGGCTGAGGGAGCATGGGGTTGAGGGAACATAGGGTTGAGGGAACATGGGGTTGAGGGAACATATCGTTAAGGAAACCTAGGACTGAGGAAACATAGGGTTGAGTAAACATAGGACTGAGGGAACATAGGGCTGAGGGAACTTAGGGTTGTGGGAACATAGGACTGAGGGAACATAGGGCTGAGGGAACTTAGGGTTGTGGGAACATAGGGCTGAGGGAACATAGGACTGAGGGAACATAGGGCTGAGGGAACATAGGGCTGAGGGAACATAGGGCTGAGGGAACATAGGGTTGAGGAAATAGGGTGAGGGAACATAGGGTTGAGGGAACATAGGGTTGTGGGAACATAGGGCTGAGGGAACATGGGGCTGAGGGAACATAGGGTTGAGGAAATAGGGTGAGGGAACATAGGGTTGAGGGAACATAGGGTTGTGGGAACATAGGGCTGAGGGAACATAGGGCTGAGAGAACATAGGGCTGAGGGAACATAGGGTTGTGGGAACATAGGGCTGAGGGAACATAGGGCTGAGAGAACATGGGGCTGAGGGAACATAGGGTTGAGGAAACATAGGGCTGAGGGAACATAGGGTTGAGGAAATAGGGTGAGGGAACATAGGGTTGAGGGAACATAGGGTTGTGGGAACATAGGGCTGAGGGAACATAGGGTTGAGGAAACATAGGGCTGAGGGAATATAGGGCTGAGGGAAGATGGGGCTGAGGGAACATAGGGCTGAGGGAACATAGGGCTGATGGAATATAGGGCTGAGGGAAGATGGGGCTGAGGGAACATAGGGCTGAGGGAACATAGGGCTGAGGGAACATAGGACTGAGGGAACATAGGGCTGAGGGAACATGGGGTTGAGGGAACATGGGGCTGAGGGAACATAGGGCTGAGGGAACATAGGGTTGAGGGAA